TATATATATATATATATATATATATATATATTGATCAAAATACCTCCAAAACGTTTTAGGGGTAATTTGGTCATTTTTTCATGAATTGTTTTTTTAATATTTTTATTAGGTGCACCTCACTAAGATGTACATACTTTTCAAATTTCAGATCATTCCGATTTGTAGAAAAAATAAAAAATAGAGTACTACTGGACAATCGTGACCGTACAATAAACTTTGAACGGTGATGATGGTAGGTAAAATCGTTGTTTATTTTTACGTTAGAAATATATATATAAGGGTTTCCTAACACGGATCATGGTTGAATTAAAGAAAAAAGTGGACGTGTGTGTAGCAGTCCCGATACCTAGACTTGCTCCAGCGCACAGTATCTGGTGGATTTTGAGCTCAAGGTTTACAAGGATATTTGTCCCTAGATCCCCTTCACATCAATATGAAATGTTGAATGTCTTCGAGCTGATTTAGGAGTCGAATTCTAAAAAGAGATTAGCCATCTCCCTCGCAATATGTTGATGGTTGATTATTAAATAACTACCAATAATGAGCAAAATCACATGAATTCAAACGAAACATGGGTTGTTCTTCAAAACTTGTTCCCAAATCCACGAAATGATCATTACTCCCTCAATTTTTTGAGCTTTTGAAATTTTAACTTTTTGTTTACAATATACACGTTTATGAGGTGATTAAATCCAAAATGGACAGTCTAGATAATTTGTTACAAACGAAGCCTTTGCAAAATAGGATGTTATTTTAATTTTTTTTTTGGGTCAAAAATTCATCTCAAAAGGGATTCAGGGGGTTGCAAGATAAAAATAATAAATGTCCTTTGCTTCCAAGTAATATTTTTCATCCTTTGGTCCAAAAAGATAGAGAAGTAAAATTAAATGATAAAGAAATATTTTCCCAACTTTTAAATACATTTCATTTCACTAATAGACAACACTGTCTACATTTGCTTGTTATATCACTCAAACCTAATACACACCACATTCACTACTTGTGCACACGTGCAAAATGCATTCCTGCACATGGACACAGACATATACAACACTCAACACTTGCAAACACAAGCATACTTACACATGTAAACACAAGCACATAGCATTAACACAAGGGCACACGAGTAACATTCGTGTTGATGTCACACGTGTGTGAAGTTCTCAAATGACTTGAGGAAGGTCAAGGCTGCCTCCTTGGCTCTCTCAGGAGGGGGAGTTGAGGAAGAGAGGGGCTCAAATTGGGCTTCCCACCTCGCCACACACCTCCCACTTGATCCTCCGTCGGGGAAGAAAGACAAAGTTACAACATAAGGGTCATACATTCCCTTCAGCTCTCCATCCACCACTGTGTAGGTTATTGAACGACCAAGATCCACTTTCTCTATGCGCTCTGTCGCTTGCTTCACGTACCCATACACGGCTACACAGGGAAAAAAAAACATTCAAACTTACGGATGGCAATGGGCCCAGCCTTGAAAATCAAGGACCTTGGCCACATAAGGTGGCTGAAAAGCCCATTCAAGGCCTGACAATATTGCCCAAGTGCTATAATAAGATGTAATTTTGGTATAAAAAATTCTCAAGAATCCATTGTCGTATCTAATTTTGAATTTTTAGACTCTAAAAATGGTTCAAATATTGAAAATGGATGGTCTCAAAATGCGCAATTTTTTAAACTCAAAATCTTTATTTTTTCACATATGCATACATCTCGATGTCGAGATGTTCAATTAGAGGGTTTTTCAATATCAAAACAATTTTTTTCAATGGATGTTTGAGGTGCACCTTAATCTTACATTTTCATGTTGCAGCCTTATATAAACTTTTTCGTTTTCTAAAAATTTTATGGCCCTGCTAGTGTTAGTGCTAGTGCTAGGATTGGGCCAGGACCTCATTTACCCAGTCAAGGCTTGGGCCGGCCTTGGACCAAGGCCTCCTTGGCCCCACCGAAGAGGATGGGGTCTAATGCAATGCCGGGGCCAGGGCTAGCCCAGTCTAGCCCAACCCATTGCCAGCCCTATTTAGAATTTAGAGAGTGATAAAGAGCAACAAATAGAACCGCATGTACATGCAAACAGTGGGAGAGGGAGAGAGAGTCTATGGATCCATAAGAATACTGAATCATTAGAAATGCACTTATGTTTGGTGTGTGTGGTTAGGGGGGGTGGGGGGTGGAGTGTGTGTGAAGAGAGAGAGAGAGAGAGTACCAGGCCCAAGCTTGAAGACCCGCAAGCTTCCCGGGCCACCATCACCTTGAAGATACTCGGCCCGTTCAAGCATGGTGGGGTTCACTTTGCTCATTATTTCATTATTTCTGTACATTTCCCATGCCTTCTGCGCAGGCATGTTGAGCACAACTTCTCCCTTCATCATCTGCATTCTCTCTCCTCTCTCTCTCTCTACTGTATTTGCCTCGCTTTTGTTGAGCTCTTAATGATTTGGTGGCCCTTAAATAGGCGAGTGTAGGGAGAGTCTTCAACATCTGGAATTATTTGGTATAGGAAAATGAAAAGCAAACTCGTGGCTCAAATTGTGGAATTGTATAAGAAAATAACAAGTAACTCGTGGCTCAACTTGAGGAATTATGGGGGTGCCTACTAATGAAATCAAAACCCTTAGTGCCTTCTATTCACTAAAGTTCACAATTAAGTGGCGCACAAAAGAGAATAGGAATCCAAAGTATTACAAATAATGTAGAGAAAAAGTAGATTCCACACCATTACATTAACCCACAACCTTTTTATTGTTCTCTCCTATATTAACTTATTATTTAGCTACGAATCTAACCTTTGATTTCTTTTGTTATTTTCTAACAAGGTTAATAGAGTGGGGATATGGAGGACTCTTTTGGTATTTTATAGTTGACAAAAACAGTATTAAGATACATATTGGTAGATGAGATTGAAATTATTTTGACAATAATAAAGGGAACCTTGGCGTTGATTGATTTAGGGAAAGTAAATTAAAATTCTAACGACTAAGGGCACGTTTCCCTCCGCATGGGATTTTGGGCAAAAAAAGGGTTCGGAACAGCCTTTAGTAGACCAACCCTGGTATGGCCTAACTCTCTAAGGTCCCCGTAAACCTTTTCCATGGCCAAAAGGGTGGTAAACAGGTCTAGCTTGGTTTTGCCCAAGTCCCTATAGGGCCGGTCTTGGCCAAACTCTAGCTAATAATGGCTCATGCCCAGGACAGGCCAACCTTGGTCTGGACCAAGATCTTGTAAGCTTAGGTGATGCAGTTTTAAGTGACGTAGTTGAAAATTTATCGCCACTAATAATTGGTAAAATAACCTTATTTTATATAGAAATAAAAAATTAAAAGAAAATCTACCAAAAAAAAAAAGCACAGATGTGAGAGTCAAATCTCCACCTCCTTTTATAAACTCAACTTCTAATGCCCCACTAACCACAACATAATTTCCTAAAGATAAATTTCCTAAAGATCCTTACCAAGTCCACAGAAACGCACCCTTTTTCTCTTAACCGTCTACCCCCATAAATGTTAGGATGCAAACCCTCCAAAATGTAATCTAAAAGATTTGGGAAGTTTTGCTCGGAAGTAATGCTAAAGTTGACTCTAAAGATAAATAAATAAAAACACCTTATCAAATTTTACCAAAAAAAAATAAAATAAAATACTTTATCAAACTAACCCTAAAGAAATCCTTACTAATCCTATTTCTAAAAATTGATACTAATAAAATAAAAAGAAAAACAGACTCATAAAATAATAATTAAATAATTAAGTTCCAAAATTTTGAAAAGAAAAAAAATATTGAATCCATCTGATCTTGATATGCATCACTATAGGCTTGGCCAACCTAGGTCCAAGGTCCCTATGGAGTCAGCCTAAACCCATCATGAAGGGGTCCTAACCCAAGTGCAATCCTAGCTCTGGCTTAAGGCACATTTTGTGGCTTGGGCCCTAGTTTTTTAGGGCCGAGTCAACTGGGCTGGCCCAAGTTGCCTAGCTATTGCAAGCCCTCGGCTGAAGGGGTCCTGTTTGGTTTAGGTTGAGCAAGCTATAGCCTTAGAACGACCATGACATTGGCCCAGCTTACCGAGGCTGATGTGGCTCAGCCCTCGGGTTAAAGATTTTGTGTCCCAAGCCATAGTTGTTTAAAGCCTAGCAGCCTGGTCAATTACTAGCGATAGGCGCAACCCTGGCCCTATCTGCTAAAAGTAGACTAAAAGGGCACGTACTAGGGAAGCTCGACCATGCGCGGCCTGGGACTTTTACTGTGTAGCTAGGCCCCTGCCCAGCTTTAGGCCAAGCTGGGGCCATGAATCATGGTATTTAACAAAAAACCTAAAAGCCAGGCTAAGCCTGCCATGGCATTTAACCTAGGCCCCTTCCAACCCTCGAGTCAATTCTTGTGGCCTGAGCCTAAGTTTTCACAGGCCCGGCAGGGCTTCCGAGCCCATGCTAGCATTTCCTCTCATTGGCTCCTCTCTAGTTCGGTTCTCTTACAGTGTAGGGTTAAGCTCTTACATCAATGGCAGATATTGTATGTATTCTGGGAGACGAATTTGATTGCTCATTGCTTAGCTAAGCAGGCGATATTTATGGCTTGATTCTTAGTCCAAATTTCATTGCTGATTGCCTAGCTAAGCCGGCGATATTCATGGCTCAAGCCATAGTTCGGCATGCCCATCCCCTTGATTTTGTTACTCTCTTCATTTCACAATCAATGCCAATGTCCCCCTTGAAATACCTGTTTAATTTTTTTTCTCGTGTTTATTAATAAAGACAAAATCAGTAGGGGTCTATCATCCCATTGATTTATCCCAAAAGAAGAAAAAAAAAACAAATGTCACTCTTACAAAATACAAAGTCTCTTTCCTCCCACTCATGTCATGTCACTTTGCTAGGGCACCCAACGCAACTCTCTGCGAATTCTCTCATTACTCCACTAGGACACCACCTCTCTCTCTCTCTCTCTCTCTCTTTCTCTCTCTCTAGGGCACCCAGAATCATACTCTCTTTCCTCTGAACTCTCTCTCTATCTCCTATGAGCTAGGGGATCCATAGTGGCACTGTGTCCTTGAACCCTCTCTCTCTCACTCCCTTAGGCTGGGGCATGAATTAGAGCACTCCTCTTACTCTTATAAGTTCCTGCGGATTGCAGTCCCATATTCATGCACACCCAAAAGCTCGTCATCTTAGTCCTTTTCGCCCTCATCTTGCCTGTCTCACATGAGTTCCATGCGATCTACAAAAATATATGGGTCATATCAATGGGATCCATGTAATTTTCGATAACATTTTTTTGGGTAAATAACTTTCGATAACATTGCGAAGTGCTATTTGCCTGACCGCATGCTCGTCCAATTCAGCATGGCGCCTATTTCCCATTCAAGGTACCTAAAGCAAGAAAGAATGAATCCATGAAGATAACTAAACTGTACAATGTAAATTCAAGACCAAAGGAAGAAAAAAAAAATCCATACAAAACAAGTCAACCAATTGTAAAAATATAAAGGAAAATGGTTTGATGGAGCTGCAGCCCATCAAAATACCTAAAACCTCATACCCTTGCTCATCAAAATCACAGTTTAAGGTTTCATTGAAAAACCTTTACATCAATCATCTCAGCGTGAACATTATGGTTGTGAAAAATAATTAAGATTTCACGTTTTAAAAATAGTGTATATTAAAATAAATTATCTAGATCGCTCGTTTCACCCTAAAAATAAGTGTTCATTGATCCATAAGCCCTGTTACATTTTTTGAGTGTCAAATCTTACTCGAAAATTGATTTTTAGATCCATCATGGTGATTTCCATTACTGAAAGTGCTTTCCGAATGAGGATTTGAGGTGACGTTTTATTTTATTTCCATAAAGCAAGACCTTATAGAAACCTCATCCAAATATAAAAAATGAATGTAAGATGGCTCCAAGATCTATTTCCAATACTAATTTTGAATTTTCTAGCTAAAACAGATACAAATCTCCCAAATTCATAAACACTTAGAAAATGAATGGTTTAGATAATGTGCTACAAGATGTATTATTTTTAGGGCTTAAAATACTAAATTTTTTAACCACTATAATCCTATTTTCAAGGTCGGCATGATCAATTTGAAGGCTTAAAGAGACCAGAATAATAATTGTCAATGAGTTTTGTGCTGAGGCCATACTTTTTTCCATAATGCCTTGGCATCATCTTAACCTTTGTCTTTAGAAAGAAATCAAACCACATTAAAAACGAACAAAAAAAAAGGAAAAAAGGGAGCAAATAGTTTAGTCTACCATTGCAAACATCCAGCCTCTCCATACTTAAAAAGACACAAAAATTATACTTGCAAGATGTTTCAAACATCAAAACCGGCCCAACCTTAGGTCAGTCTAATGTCCACAACATTGGATTCACCTAGAACTCGGGATATCTAATATCCAAGCTATTCAGAATTAGAGTTCAACAAAATTTAAAAATGCAAAATGAAAACCAAACTTCAGACGGAGACAAAACTAGAATATCATCATTGTCAATGCCTTGAATAAAACTAGAATGAGAAACACAAAAAAAGATACCTCCAAATATGATTCCAAAAAAATTATACCATATCGTATTTCTGGTAAAAACAACTCATATGTACATAATTTTTTCAAAAAAGATTGTTCACATAGATATCATTTCTCTTTGTTACAAAAAAATCACACTTATTCCGACTTATTAGATGTCAAATTGAATTAGCTTAAAGTGAGTCATTGTGTTCAAGAATATTTTTTTTTTAGAACTTCAAGTCTATTCAATGATACTCATCCCATTACTCATTTAAAATCTCAAAGACTAGTGATTATAACTTCCTTGTACAAAAGGTAAATAATCTCTTTTTGAATATTTTTCCTTCCAATAATCTCTTTTTGAATATTTTTCCTTCCAAAAAACAAATAAATGGTATTCAAAGATTTAGAATGCCAATTTGCCTCTTTCCTAAAAAGAATCGTATGCAATGAGACTATTATAAATGACATATTTCATATCCATATTCAAATAAGGGGTGAAAACCCTTACGAATTTATCAAATGATAATAAATTACATTTGAGAGTTTGCTTTTAAGTTACTAATTTAATCAATTACATAATTAAAAAAATCTTAAAAGGTTCCCAGCTAACCCTTACTTCGTGTTGGAAAGCCTGAACACAGTTTAGTAATTTTAACCCCAAGAGGCCTCAATAAAATGATAGAACTGACCCTACTTATTCAGGTTAGAATTAACAAAAAGGTTATTCGGTATTTAAAATATAAAACAATCAGAGGTAATTATATCATTTGACAAGAACAAGTTCCATTAATGCCTCTTTGGGGTAAAAAATAAACAAAATATCCCTAATTGGTTCACATTTCCCAACATCGAACTGGGATAATTTGAGAAAAAAAATTTTAACAAAATATACTTTTAAAATATAAATTTAGAGGCAAACCCTCGCATCTAATTTATAATTACTCATGTAGAGATTTTGTAAACCCTCAAATCTAATTTATAATTACTCCTGTAGAGATTTTGTAAAGAATTTCAACCCTTTAACTCATATCTTCCCATTATAATAGCATCATTTCCGTACATATTCAAATATACCCTCCTCTCTATCTATACATATTCAAATATACCTACAATCCTCTCTCTCTCTCTCTCTCTCTCTCTCTCTCTC